TTTTTTTTTAAAATATAATTTTTCAAATATAAATAATTAGAAATTTCTTTTTCTTGTATTTTAAACCTTTATTTTCCTTCCTATATCGATATTCGTACAAATTTTAAAGTTGCTTCGAACAAAATTAGCTTGTAAATCACTTGAAAAAACAATTATTCAAAATGAAATGCCCTAAAAAAAATTGCAATAAAGAACAATGTCTTAATGAAACAATAAAATTTTTTAAATTAAAAAAAAAAACTATAAATGTAAAGTAAACGTTTCACTCTGTACAAATTTTTATATAGACACAAAAAATTTTGTTTTAATTATTATTATTTTGAGTTTTAATTTGTAATGGTTTTTTTTTTTTGATAAATTTTGGACATATGACTCAATTTTTCAAATTTTGTAAGGTACACAAAATTTGATAATATTTTTATCATTTTCTTTTTGTTTATTATTACATGTTATTAGCTACTATTAATTAATCACTATTTTATTATAATAATAGCAATTTTTATTATTTATAATTTACAATGAGGAATTTATTTTATAAAAAAAAAAAACGAATATTTAGTTAAACAAAAAAAAAAAGTAAATCTTATCAAATTCTTTTATGCAAGATTATTATTTTTGGACCATTTTATTACATTGGTTTTATTAAAAATTAAATTTGAAAAATGAAAAATAGAAATTTTTCTTTATTAAATATGTTAATGAAATATAAATGTATTTAATATGAATATACATTTTTCAAATTAATTTCATTATAAATATTTGTGATCACTTTACATATTATAGGCAATGATTTGCTTCTACTCGTATTTTTTAATTTGTATTTACTTTTTCATATTTTATTTTTAAACAATAATTTTTGTACAATAATTATATTATTTTATATTTAATTGGTATGCATTTTATTTATATTACAATTTTATAAATAATATTATATTAATTTTCTGTTTTCTTTGGAAATCGTTAATTATTATTATATAAAGTTTTTATAATTTGAACAATTTTAAAATATGAAACCGTATTCAAATATATTTTATTCAATTAATTTTTAGTTTATCAAATTGTTACAATCGTTTAATTATAAAAAATTTGAGGTAAATCTGATGAGAAACTGAAAATAAACAATTATATTCTAAAAATACCAAATATAATGCTTAATACGGTTTTAATAAGTAAATAAAAGTAATATTGTTAAATTTTTTATTCTTCGGCTCTTTGTATTTAAATCGTAAAAATTTTATAAATTATTTTATTTAATAAAGTATCATCAAGGCACAATATATTTATTTATTTACAAAATAAAAATGAATTCATGTTTTTTTAATAATAAATATAATTACTAATTCTTAATTGAGTTGACAATATAAATTCTATATGTTTCACGTAAGGTAAATTTATTTAAATTTTTGAAAAATGTATTGAAATATTTAAATTTTCATATTTATGTATAATATGCAAATTAGTATTTAATATTTTATATAAATCTTGTTATATTATTTTAGATACTTGATAGATTTTTTATTTTTTTCGACTACATGTTGTACTGAACTGGTATTAGCAAATTTTAAGTTATAATAAAAAATTTAATAAATTTCATGAATCATTCTATAAAAAATAATTTATTGATTTAATTTAGAACTGATAAGTATAGCTACAGTATAAAACAAAATAATATAAAATTATGATTCAAATGTAAAATTTATTAAAAAAATGTTCAAATAATTTAAATAGAGATATTGTTGCTTTATTTATTCTTTTAAAACTTAAGAAAAACCATTATGAAAACAGAAATTAAATATTTTAAAATTGCTCAAAATATTTTTAAATTTCAAGTTCAAAAACTTGCTTTTTTTTTTGGTTAATTTGTTTTCTCTTTTAATTTAAATATAAGTTTCGTTTTAAATAAATCTTATTTTTTTATACAAAAATATTTTTTTTTTATTTTTTTTTTTATTATTTAAACATTTTTTATTTAATAGCTATTAACAAAGTGAAAAATGATTAAAGAATTTATTAAAAAAATAAGAATGCTATTTTAGTAGTTTAATTTTTTTTTGAATTTTATAAACGCTTTTTCAATAAAAAATATTCAATTGCCTTCTAAATTGCAAATGCAATTTATATTCATTTCTTAAATTTCTTATTTTAAATAATTATATAGTATAATTATGTATGTATATTCAATTACAAAATAAATTTTTTAACATTTATTTATATAAATTTAAAATTTATTAATATTTTTCTTTGTATCATTTAAAAAATTTTTAACAAAATAATTTCAATATTTAATTAATTTTAAATTTTTGAAACAAAATACAAAAACAAATCACGTTATTTCTTCATAACTTCATGTTTTTCATTATTTTCAATTTTGATATTAATTGGAATAAAATTAGTTAATATTAATATTTTATTAAGAAATATTAAATTAAAAAAAATTGTAATGTTAGCTTCATGGTAAAAATAATATAAAGAATTAATTCAAAGAACTTAAAATAAATTGAAAAATATTATTATAAGAAATAGATAGGTGCAAGTTCAAGCAAAATATATTTAAAGTTTGAAAAAATTTAAAAAAATTCCATTGCACAATTTAAATTTGAAATTTTTTCAATAAAGTTTTAAATTTATAAAGGCGTGCTATATTAATTGAATATCCAAAAATAAATTGTATATAAATGCATATACATAAAAATCAAGTTTTATCAAGTTATAAAACTGTTAATGAAAAAAAGGATTTCCAGTTTTCATTTCAATTTTAACAATATAGTAAAGCATTAACCGGATTCCAATTTAAAGTAAAACTCATGATCTAAGTTTTAAAAATAAATTTGTTGAATAAATAATTAAAATTTAAGATTGTAAAAATTAATATAATATTAATTGTTTGATTTAAGGTATTTAAAGTAACAAAATAGAAAAATTTTATTGTTATATATTTGCAATTTTAATATTGTAACAATTTGGAAAATTTATGTACAAACTCTCCTGCACACCATTCTTTAATTATGTTACTTGATCCAATATTTAATCCTTAACATCGCGTTTATCAATTTTGCAATATAATCAGAAGGATAAAAAAAATATCTATTTAAAAAAACTATTAATTACCCCGTTGTCAAAAATTTTATTAAAATCAATAATAAGCATAATAAATTTTAAAAATAAAATTACAAGAAACAAATTTAAAAATACCATATTAAAAATAATAACATTTAAAATGAAAAATTTGAAAATCTCAAATTTTTAAAATTGTATAACAGATTATGAAAGTATTTTAATTACAAATTTATAAACTAAATAGCCATATAAATTAAAAAACAAATTTATTTTTGCATGTTTTTTTTTTAGTTAACAACAAAATTCAAAAATCTATTTATGTATATAAAAAATAATGAAATTATTCATATATATAAAAAATACAAACAAAATTTTGTGGAATACTATAAAATTTTAAAAAAAAAATTATATTGACTTGTTATGTGATTTCAATAATAGACATTATTGGAAATGTATGAATTTTTATAGAATTGCGTAAATATTCGGCACACGTATATAAGAGAATTTTAAAATAAAAAATTTTAAAAAATACCTTGAAATTTAAACAGTATTTTTTTTTTAATTTAAAATATTTCTATTGATATATTAGGTGCACCGAAAAATTTTATTAATATACTTGGCGAATCATCATTTTATATGATTGTGGAGTATTTAAATTTTATATTGAAAAATTAAACTTTTTACTCTTCTTTAATAATTAACTTTAGAAATTGTAAGAATGGAAATTATATTTTTAAGAAAATGTACATTATACCTTATCAAAAACAAGAGTATATGTAGGTTCATACTTAGAAATTCATTATATTAAGTAGAAATTTATACATACTGGAAATTTTATTATTTATTTTACAAGCATATCTTTACTAGTGCATTGTAATTATATTTTGTAGCATCGAATAAATAAATTAAATTTACAAAATTTATTGAAAAAATTTGAACATCTTAGCTCTTTTAAATACCGAACCAATTATCATAAAATTATTAATATTTTTGTTTATAGAAAAATTTTCTATAGTTGTATAAAATCAAATCAAAGCAATTTTAAAATTTCAATGTATTCCACAGTTGCAATAATTAAAATATTATTATTACAGGTAAACCATGTAGCGTTTTAAAATTAAAAAATAATAGTAAAAAATATATATATACATAGATATATTTTTCATTATAGCTTTACTTTTTTTTTTAGATTTTTTTAAAGGTTTCATTAAGAGTTTTTTTTTATATGTTTTTTCGACACAAAATTATAATATATTTTTTTTCGATTTTTTTTTTATTTATGGTTATAATCATCAATATAAATTTTTAATTACAAATCTTATATTTTAATTAATGAATTAATAAATCTTATTAAATTTTTGTTTTTAAATTAAAAAATAAAACAATAAATGTTTATCATTTATAAAATTACAAAAAAAAAAATAAAAACGAATATTTTTTTCATTTAATTTTTTGTTTGTTTAAAAAATAATTATAAACATCTATTTTTTTTAAATCCAATATATGTATTATAAAAACTTAAATTTAAGACTACTTGTAAACTTTTTATATTTTGTAACTTTGGGATTTGCATATTAACATAATAATAATATTATAATAATATAATAAAAATATATATAACATATATAATACATAATATAATATAATAAAAATTAAAAAAAATATATCGCACAAAAAAAACATAAAATATTCTTATTATTTTAGTTAAATATTTTTTTTCATAATATTTTATAACTTTTTAATGTAGATATTTTCTTTTTATTGAATATAAGGTAAAACTTAAGAAAAAGATTATTTATGTTAATTTTATTTTATATATTAAATTTTATGTTGTATAAAAGCGTTTTATATTTCCATTATCCTTAAAAAAAATCCTTCCTTTCATATCGTTTAAAAAATTCAGTCAAACAGATTTATATTAAAAAAAAGCATTTGTATCAATAATTATTTTTTTTTTAATATAAAAAAAGAGCGGACAACATAACTTCCTTTTCCAAATCACTTTGCGGTTGCATTTTTTTGATTTTTTTTTTTTAAACCTTTACTTCATAATAGAAAACAATTTTTTTGTTTTATTGAGATTTAATATTATTAGATGACGTGTTATATTGTCAATTAATTACTAAACACATTTCACATTCCCTTTAAATCTTCAAGACCACCACTTGGTATTCCAGTTTTAACTTTATCGAGGATAGTATTTACAAATTCTGTTGAATTTCCAGCTATTTGAACGGCTAAAAATAGAAAATATAAGTTATTTTAACATTATATAATTTAAACAAAAATTTATATAAGTACAAAACAATGTACATTAACTGAATTACACATAATTTAAATAAAAATTAATATTTAAATGCTTTAAACTTTACAAATTTAAAATCTTAATTTGCACTTTAAAATTGTCTAGCTAAACATTTTGGGAACATATCTAAAACTCACTTGTTGATTTTGCAGCTATTTTCTCGATTTGACTATTCAATTCTTCATTATTTTCAGCTTGATTTATTTGATTTGGGTTTTGGTTGTGATATTTTAAAGCTAAACAGTTTTTGACATCATTAATTCCATTCAAAAGTTTTTCTAAAAAAAAAAACGTATAAGTATATTTCGTAAGTTTTATTATAATTTTTCATAAAGAATAAAAAAACGTAAAAAATTTAATATTTGTTATAATTTACAATAATTTCAAAATTTCTTTGCTCACTTACTATGCTCAATTTCTAGTCCATATAGTTTTATTTTATTGGCTTCGTGTTGTGCCTTCTTTTTCAACCGGCAAGCTCTTGAGGCTAATTTATTTTTTTCTTTTCTTGTTTTTTGCCTTGTATTTGTTGGCAGTTCGCTCACTGGCGGCATATCATTTATTTGACGTCCTAATTTTTCCAATTCTTTTCCAATTGAAAAAAGTTTTCTGGGATTTGGTGTTAAATCATTACCATCTCCTTTTCTTGCCTTACCGCTATGCTAAAAATACAAAAGCAAAAATAAATTAGATAAATTTAAATTCAAATTTTAAAGTTCAGCATTCACTGACAAAAAATATGGTTATTGTAAAAAATTTTGAAAGGAAACACATTTTTTTTTACAAAAGATATTTTTTACATGAAGCCTCTTTTATTATTATTACTTTAAATACCTTGATTCCACGCACTGAACAATTTGGGCTAAAAACAGGGTCAGTAACTTCATTTAATACATGAGGATCTTCTAATTGAGTTTTGATGACAAGTCGTTGTCCCTTTGGCCCTTTAGCTTGAACATTATACTGCCAGAAATACCGTTCCTTATTTTTAGAACTTGAATTAGGTCCACGTGGTGTATCGTCGTCGTTATCAGATCCTTGATGTAAGTAATGAAATATTAAAAAAAATGTCAAAAATTCAATTTCCTAAAAACTTTTTTATTTACCATTATCACTTGAGTAATCATCAGAATGATCACTATCGTAATCTGAATAACCTTCATCATGTTCTGGGCTTAATATACTAGCTGTACTAATGGATGATATTGATTCAGCTTCAGCTATTGAGGAACCAGTTGAAAGTAAATGCTGTCTGGGCTCCCGACGTCTCCATATCGGATGATCAAATGAAAAATCACTACGACGTTGTTGCATAATTTCATCCAATTGTAAATGTGTGGGGGCTGATGATGATAATCTTGATGCAGATATACTACTACTATTACCGCCATTTGATGATAATGCTATTAATTTACGAGAACTACCTTGACCACTTATGCTGCCAAAACCGGAACTAACAGGACTTAATGCACCACCAGATATTAACATGTGTGAAGTAGACGGACCAGGAACTGATTGACCTAACATACTACTGCGATCTGGCGATTGTGAGAAATTTTGTTTTAAAATTAATTCGTGTATTGGTGTAACTTTACTGCTACTACTGTGTTTTTGTTGCAACATATTCTGTTGTTGTTGTTGTTGTTGTTGTTGCTGCTGTTGTTGTTTTTGCATAAATTGATTTTGAGATAATGGAGGAGTTATGGATTGCATCAATGAAGGTGATGAACTAGCCTGCAAAACAAAAATTTTTTAATGAACAACAAGAAGATTGATTAAAATTTTTAACAGTTATATACCTGACTACCAGGTGAAAAAGCAGCGTTAGATTGTTGAAATCCTTTAATTGGTGTACTATGTTGAATATCGTATGGACTAGAGGAACTGCCAGTGTTTAAATCATCGAATAATTTTCCAGAACTTGAATGATAACTGTTTTGGTTAGTTTGCATTGGTATACCAACAGACGCACTATGTGTTTGATTTCCATGTTGTGTACCATTGCTATTATTTCCCCCACTATTATTACCATGTTGTTGTAGTAATTGGTGAGAAGTTACACCAGGTGAATTAACAGTTTGTAATTGGTGAAATTGACCATGTGATACTAAATATGTATCATTTTCAGTTTGTATTAAATCATCAATATTTAAATCTTCTAAAAAAGTTTCAGCATTCAATTCAGCAAGAGTTGGGCTGTGTACTAAATCGGCTTTATCTAATTGAAAAATATAATCATCTTCCATTGGAAATGGTTCAGCTTTTGTTGAAATCATAGCGTTACCAATATCACTCCACATTGTATTTGAATTTGATGTAATGCCAGCAGTAGGAATTTCATAAATTATTAAATCATTGCCACCAGTTATTGTTGAAGATGAATTATTACTATTTCCTATACCTATTGCTGAATTTGACATTTGACCAGAATTATTATTATTATTGTTACTATTATTATTGTTATTATTATTATTGTTATTATTATTATTTATAAAATTATTACCACCATTATTGCTATTATTTTGCGTAATATTTAATGGTGATGATGATATATTATTAATAAATATTAAGCCATTATAGTTAGCATGTATAGAAGACGAATTATTACTATGCGGTGTTAAACTTAAATTACTTTCTTGCACATAAGTTGGTGACAATGATGATGTGTCCAGCACATCTAAACCATATTCTGAGAAATCAGCCATTATACGTGATTGATTATGATTATATAATAGATTATTACTATTATTACTACCACCGATACTATTATTTGATCTTTGTGGTATTGATATTGATGCAGTTGAATTTAACATTGGATTATCACGTAAATTATCCATTGATGATGATGTATTAGATGCGGTTGAAGATGATGATGATGTTGTTGATATATTTGTGCATTGATTTATATTTGGACTTAATGTCGATATTGATCCTATTCCAGCTGTTTGTGTATTTGCTGTTGTTGTTGTCGTTATTATAGAAATTGCCGGTGATGTTGCTGTTGATGAATGTGGTAAGTTTTTTGCTACAAAACCTGCTATTGTTGATAAGCCTAAACTACTATTACTATTGCTACCTGAACCAATTAAAAAATCTGATGGAAAAATATCTAATTTTAGTAGATTACTACTATTCGATGAGTTATCAAAAAAATCAGCTGACATTGAATAAATTTTATTTTCCGTCATATTACATAGACATTTGGACAATCATTGAAAATTGTCCACTGTTTTAGACAAGTTTTTTGTTTCCTTTTTTCAGAATTAGAGATTTTAAAAATCTGAAAATAAATAAAAAAAACATTAAATTAATTAAATTTCTTGTACAATTATATAAAATTCTTATATGTAAATTAAAGTGATCTGTATTAGAATAGAGTTTTGTATTAATTAAATTAATTGTGAATTATTTACTTCTTAGTCATAATTGCTCTAGTTTCATATTTAATTTTTTGCAATTGATTTTTTCTTGATTTTATAAAATGTAAGAATGTATGTCGGTACATATACAGTAGGTATGTAGGTAGGTTCTCACCTACTTATGTATATGGATATGTTTAACATACTAAATTGTATATATGCATGCATATATGTACATATATGTATAAAACACATATACGTTTGTTTAAAACATTATATAACTTGGTAACCTTTCAAGGTTAAATTCTCAATTCTCGAAAACTTTATATTAATGTATATATGTATATTCTCATACCAAATATGTACATATATATACATATATACAAATATTCAAAATTTTCTCCTTATTCATGGAATAGTGTCAATTTACGTATTTATAGCTACATATGTGTGTACATAAACATACATACATATATATTATTTAATCAAATTATAAATACGTAGTACAAATAAGAATCACCTGATTTTCAAAAACAAAAATAATATTTTAACATTTTTATATGTAAATAAATTATGTACATTTGTACATACAAATGTACAAAAGTATAATATGTTGCATGTATATATGTATGCATAAATATTTGTCTTTTTGTTGTACAACCACAAAATCCGATAAATTTTTGTACTTTACTGCTAACTAACTACTCAAGATATTCTTCAATACATAATTATTTAAATAATAAATATATAATAATGAAAAACATTAAACTTTAAAAATTAGGTCACAAAAAATTGTGTACAACTAATACAAAACAAAAACAAATTAATAATAAGTAAAATGTAATTGTATACCTATTATAAGTACATGATATATAAATGTTTACTTAATATATATGTTCGTATGTATACATGAGGTTGAAATAAACAAAACAAAAACATATGATTCAAGTGTCATTAACAATTTAAACAGTAACAATAACAATAGTATAATAACTACGTTTCGAATAAAAAAATTCTATATTACCAATATTAGCTAGATCCTATAATAAAATTAGTAGAGAAATATAACTACAATGGGAAAAAATAAAAAGAACAAAAAAAAAGATTCAACAAGTTTTTATGGTTTGTTTTTATAGGTTTTTGATTAATTTTTTACTATTTTTTTGACATACCTAATAGGAAATTTGTTGATGTTGGTGTTTTTGAAGATTGGACTTTGTACTCACACTAAAAATTATTTGACTGTCATCCTTACCCACTTTACTTTTGAAATTTTTTCTTATTACCTTTAAAGTAAGTAATTATTTTCCTTTTTATTTTTTGCTTATTTTTAATTTTTTTTCACAGTTTTCTAGTTTTATCTTAATTTTTAAATAAGAATAGAAAAAGGCGGTTTTATAAAATTTAATTGCTTTGATTGTCATTCACAGTTTTTATTTTATATATGAATATAAATACATACACACAGATAAGTGAAAAAATTATTAGAAAATTTATTGTTAATTTTATTATTTAAAACCGTGTGTTTTGTAAAATTAATAGACAGTCGAAATGCTAATATATTTGCATGGAAATAGTCTTCATATTGAGTCAAATAAAATGTACTTGTGCAAAATAATAGTAAGACAATTTTTGTATACTAAAAACTTATTTATCATGACAATTAAAATACATACATATTTACATATGTATAGTTGTATACTGTGAAATGTCTAGAGTTCTATATTAATGAAATGTTCAGATCATAATAACAGAACTGTTAGAACAGAGTTTATAAGACAATAATAATTGCAGGATAACAGTAACGCGTTGTGATGTTGTGAGATACGGTCTATTCCGATTTCAACATTACCTCCTACAAAGACGTAGCTATTTCGGTGTAGTTATCAATTATATATCTATTGCTAATATAGCTATCTATAAATTAAACAAATTTACAATCATATAGGTAATATAATTCACAATGCCTATCTATTTCATATAAAAATTCAATTTATTTTTCAAAATTAATATTGAAATTAGAATATCGCATAATTGCATTAAATATAAATTAATATTTTTTGTTTTACATACTTATTTTATTTTCTCAATGATTCACTATTAGAATACGCAATCATCGTTACATACCTCAAAACTTTATGAAAATAAAATATTATCATATTTTTATTCTTTAATTATACACTTAATGAAAACTTGATAATTATTAAATTATATTGAATTGCTTTCAAACTTCTAATAAAGTTATGAATTTATGAATGAATACCATATATTAATATTACTGCACAGTCGAACTCATTTATATGCACACATATTTTGGGGCAAAATTTAATTATTAAAACAATTTGTGTTTGTAAGCGAAAATCTTTGTTTCAAACAATGTCAAAAATTTTTGTGCTTCTAAGAGTTTTGTATTATTTAGCAAGTAGTAGTTAAGAATTATAAACAGTGTGAAAAATTAGAGAAATGTAAGAAAAGTATGCGAGAATTAGAACATGTGAGAAAAATACGCTATGCGTTTAAAAAAGTTTTGCTTATATCAGCGTTTCAATCAAACATATTCGACTGTACATATAATTATTTTGTAACATTGTTGCAAAAAACTCATTATGAATTCATGTTGGCAGATTAATTCCAATGACAAATTAATAACAAAGTATTGGATAAACATTAATTTTTAAATGAAATTTATTGCTAGACATTTTTATTGGTCACATATAACTACTTTATTATAAATTAATTTCCTTATTGGAATATTTATTCTACTGAATATTTCATATATACGTATATGTACATGTGTGTATGTATATGTACATATTTAATTATATATAATATTATAAGTAGGCATATTTTAATTCTCAGCAAATAAAAATTAATTAGGAAACTAAACTTTTTTCATTAAAGAAAATTTAATGTACTTATACTCAAGATTATATAATTATTTTATGATACTCGTTTTCAATCTATATCACATAATAATTATGTACAGTATAATAAAAAAATCTGATGTGGTCAGCACATAACCGACCGCATTGTGTATTGTCTAGTTAAATGAAAGTGTTACAGAATATTATAAAAATGTCTGTTAAATACTTCTTTCCAATTTTTAAGACATTAGTAAGCTTATAGTTAACATACTTAGAAAAATGTAAATTTGGCTCTTAGTAGAGTTTCGCTTTGTGCTGCCCGAATTCCCTGAAATGCTCGCCAGTTAGTTTCGGTAACAACTAGAACTCAAATATCAAATTTCAAGAAATTCCATAAATTTGTTCTGTGGATATGGTGAAAAATGTAAAATCGGCCTGCAAATCAGTTCTCGAGCCCTGATCTTTCCAAAAAATTTATATGTTCATTGCTTTAATATGAGGAATTCATATATTAAATTTCAATGAAATCGGTTGATTATTTCTCTTTATATACACAAAAGTGTATGTTTGGCCCGTAGTAAACGTCTAGTTGCCGATGCCTGATCTTTCCAAAAAATTGACATGTTCATTGTTTTAATAAGAGGAATTCATATATTAAATTTCAATGAAATCGGTTGATTATTTCTCTTTATATACACAAAAATGTATATTTGGCCCGTAGTAAACGCCCAGTTGCTGATGCCTGATTTCTTCCAAAAGTTAGGAATTTTTGCGTACGATCGAGCAAAGCTTATATATGAAATTTCAAGTAAATCGGTTGAATATTTTCTTCAAAATGGTGAAAAATGTAAAATCGGCCCGCAAATCAGTTTTCGAGCCAAATAGTTTATTTACACTTCCCTACTATGGAGAAGTACGTTCCCACCGAAAACTCGATATGCAAAATTTGTTGCTATCACATAACCTACCTATTGTTTACACAATACGGTCGGTTAAAATATATTGACATAAATTAAGTTTTTTTTTTGACATGAATTACATCAGATTTGTTGCCACATTCTCAAAAACTTTTGGAAATACTTGAGCTTTTGAAAAGTTTATAATTTTAGTAAAAGAATTATTTTCCTAGAAAATTGCTTTTGTATAAACTCTTCAATTCAAGCTCACCAATGAAATAAAAATGAAGCAATATATATATGTATATATTTCGGCAAATTACTGGAAAGGAGTAAACTAATATAAAGTATAGATATTTGTAAATTCTGTAAACAAAGGCAAATTTTAATAATTATTTCTTTTGTCATAAAGAGCTACCTATCAAAAGCCAAGTTGTCGAATTAACCGTTTAATTCAGTTATTACCTCAAACAGAGATTCTTACGCTCATTGTAAGAAGAATTTTTCTTCTATACATAAAATTTTAACATAATATACAATTTATAAAATATTTGAGTTTATAAGAACAAAATTACGTCATCACTCCCCCTCCCATGAAGTACGTTTCGTCAAAATTTGCAATATTTTAATTTTCAGTCCCCTATTTCGCTGACCAATTTAAGCATATACCAATATTCATTCCCTAATCGAAAAGTACTAATAACCTAATTCCTTATGTACTAGCAAAATTTTCATGATAATTTATTTACATATTTTAAAATGCGTTCTTAATTTATGCAAAATTATAATATGGTAAAAGGAGAATTATTTTAACAGAAAATGGTTTTTATTTTTTAGACCTAGAGCTGTATTATCACAAGTTCTAGACTTAATTTTTTTAAGGGAAATATAACATTTTACGAACTATGGATTTAATATATTACATTTTCATAATTTCACCACATATGAAAATAAAATTGTAGGCAATGAAATCGTTAAAAAAATTTTAATTTAAAATAAATTCGTACATCAAAAGAATAATATTTAAATTTAATTTAAAAATTAATTATATTCAAATACTTAATATTAAATAGAATTAAATTTAGAAAAAAAAAAAGAACATAAAATATTTTTTGGCAAAAAATGTTCTTCAATTTAGAATTGAAACTTAAATTATACCAG